ATGTTAATACCAAGTGCTTCTCTAAAGTGTCACCAAAATATTCATGGTGCTGACAAACTGCTGATTTTACATTTTAACGTTTGAGTTTTCAAATTATTACTTAAAGGATTTTTGTTTACCTCAACAAAGTCAAAGCTGCAGGAGCCCCCCTCAACGTCAAACGTGAGGAAGCTGAGCGTGACCACGTAGCCCTCCGGTTGGTTAATGACCCACTCGCAGACCTTGTTGTGGGGATACGGGTTCGGGTGGTAGGGAGAGCGCAACTGTCCCGTCCCAGATAAAATACCTCCACAGGCTGGAAACAGGGAGGAACGCAGGGTGTTTAACACGACTTGACATTCTGACATCAGAMGTTTCATTTATAAAACATTAACGATGAGATTCCAAATCAAACTGATGAGTCATGCTGTTTTTAGCCTTCTTGGAAAASTTTCAGTATATCTTTTATACGTTACAATAAAGAAATGCACTGAAAGTATTATTTGAAAACGTTAAAACCKTTGAGTTTAGATTCAGAGTGACCACAGGGTGAATAAAACATAACGGTGGCAATGAGAGAATAAAGCATGAGATCTTTAAAAGAAAGTTCAAACAAACTACTGTTTCACTTAGTTACGACTTATGACAAACGACTTAACACACGATCACAGTGTGATATAACGTTAATGYGAAACTCTCACCAACAGTGTAGACAGCTCTGAAACCAGCTCGACTGACCGAACTGTCAGATTTGAAACGTATCCACAGAGAGCTGGACGATGAGACAATGGGAGCTGGGAGGGTGTTTCCRCAATACTTCCCTATCAGAGGGTCACTTTCCAGTCTCCCATCACGTATCTGGACAGAAAGTAGAAACAAAAAAATTGAGAACTGTCATGAAATTTTCTTTCAGAGGCTGTGTTCAATTAATGCACCCCAGACCTCAAGACAAAAAAAAAAAAAAAAGAATTGCATTCATGCATTAAGCTACTAAAATAATTTAAATCTTTGCCTAAAACACAAGTAGGTACAGTTTCATTTTCAAACTGGAGACTAGTAAGAGACAGGTTATTGGAGTGAAAAACAAAAAAGAAACTCTCCTACCTCCACATAGTCGAAGGCACAGCCACTGTGAGTCTCTAGATCCATGTGAGTGAAGTTGAGGGACACCTTTTCTCCCGCCGGCAGCCTAATCAGATAGATGCACTGGCGGTTGTGGGCGTAGTTATTGGGCCAGTTGGGTGAAATTATGATGCCTTCAGTGTCGGTAAATGTACCACCACAACCAGGATCACCTAAAGTAAAACAAAATAAAATTAAAAAAATGGAGACACAAATGCATGCCAGCAGTTTTTATTACTCATGCTGGAGGGATTTATGGAAAAACAATGCAGTGTTCTGTTTAGTTCAGTGTATTTTCTGTATAGAGCATTAATCCACAACAAACACTTAAATAATAACTGTCACCAAGGATTTGTTGGTACATAATGACTGACACTAAATAGGGAAACTAGGAGAGTTGGCGTTATTCATCTCCACAAGCCTTTCAGGAGTTTAATAGGTTGAATAAGTAACAACTTGTATACTTATTTGATTTACTAATTTCATTAAAAACTAACAAGACATTTCACACAATAAAACAATACAAATAAAACAAAATGAAAGGCAGCAGAATGTATATTATTATATTTATTTGATGTAATAAGCTACTTACTTGGTGATGTTGTGTATGTGATGTGGAAGCCTCTGTCAGTTATAAYTGAATCAGAATGGAAGTGGATCCATGCCATTGGGCCAGTTGTTTGTAAGGGGGGTGGCGATCCGGTGTTGCAGAACTTCCCAAGAACTGGGTCTTCAGGTAGAAGACCGTCACGGATCTGAAAAGATTTGACGACGCAAGACAGCTGAAGAAAAGCTTTAAAGTGAAGCGAGAAGAACAAAATAAACACAAGGAGCAACTGTGCCCCTGGTAAGGAGGTGGGTTAGGGTCAGAACCGGTGCCTATATCTCCAGAGGTGGGGGGAACCTGGGACAAGTCTCATAATGCAATGCAATGTGACACAGTTTATTACCTCTAAGAAGTCAAAGTTGCAGTTTGGGTGGTTTTCAAGACTTAAAGTTCCAAAAGCAAACGTGATGAGGAGGCCAGGTTCCACTGTCACGGTCCAGTAGCAGTCCCTGCTGGGCGGGTAGTTGCCGGGGTAGCCAGGGGAGTTTATGTTRCCGTATGACTCGGTCAGTTCACCACCACAAACTGGAAAAGGAAAATTCTTTCAGGAAACGCAGCTRGTGCGCACCTACAAGGTTTTGATGCTAATTGATTGTTTTTAAACTTTAAACACACACCTGGGTCCTGTGACTGCCAAGCTACCGTGAAGCCGCCGCCGCTGACAGAGTGGTCAGAGCGAAACCAAAAGTACAAGGAATTGTGCGAGCTGAACAGTTCTGCAGGGTTGTTTTGACCGCAGTATTTCCCAATCATGTAAGCAGAGGCACTGTTGCCGTCGTGGATCTGGAGGAAGTCAAAGTTGCAGTTTGWGCTGCTCTCCAGGTCGAAAAAAGGAAAGGTGATCCGAAGAATCTGCAGACAATCAAAAAGGCAACAATCCCAAAAATAAATGTTTTTGACACACTTTTTTTTTTTACTGTTGCAGTGTAACTTTACAGACTTGTTTGACATAACCAGGAAAAGATGGACGCCAACCAAGTGTTAGGAGAATCAGTAGCTGACCTTGTTGTGGTCGGTGGTTATCACCCAGGCACAGCTGACCAGGTGATCATAATCATCATGACCTGGAGTGTTGGGATAGCTGAACGAACCAGCAGGACCTGTCAGTTGACCTCCACATACTGTAACAAAGTGTTACAGTAAAACTTAACATTAAATTGATAAGTACCAGTTGATCAAGTTTACTTATTACCTAATATTAATACTTTGGATTATAAAAATGGACTGAATTTGATTTAAAGTTATGAAAGAATATCACCATTGGTTTTGTCCTCTTATAAAGCTTTCATGTAGCCTGCAGTAAATAACCACAAAGATCAAAACACCCCCACTTTGTCCTCATACCTTGCTGTGGAGTCTGGCAGAGTGGACCGGTCCACTGGGCAGTGCAGGTACATGTGAATCCATTAATGCCGTCAGTGCAGGTTCCTCCATTTTGGCAGGGGTTGCTTGAACATTCGTCAATATTCTGGTCGCAGTGAAGTCCTTGCCAGCCAGAGTTGCAGTTGCAGAAGTATCCAGGGGGCGATGTGGTGCTCTGTGGCAGCAACGTGCAAACAGAAGTCTTTGATTGTAACATTTGCTGCTAAAGCGGCCCTTTATATTTCCAAATACATTAGAGTTCTTCCTGTTTGATGCAAATTCTTCTGCTCTGAAAATAGTTTTTTTTTACATTGTTCCTTTAAGTGTAAAATACAATGATACAAAAAATAATGTCACTGACTTATTCCCATTATTTAGCTCACTTTCTGAGTGTAAAAATCCTAGTTAAAAATTTTCACCAGCATTTTATTGTTATTTAGCTCACTGTTTTTACATTCTATAATTTTTACTCAATGCTAAATAATGTGACAGAGAAGTCAAGAGGCTCACACTCTTACCACACACTGTCCATTGACACAGGGGTTGTTGGTCTGACAGATCTGACTTATCTGTGTGCAACCTGTCAGGCCATAACCATTGCCAGTGTATCCTGCTGGGCAGGTGCAAACAGGGAAGCTTGAACCTGTTCGTTGATTTGGAGAAAACAGATAAAATACAAGATGACGTCACTTTTTGCACATTTTGATCTTTAAACTGCACTTCTATACAAGCAGTTTATCTAGTTAATAATAAAAATCACAGTACAGTAGGATTTTAGACATTTGTATTTGTCAGTTTAACATGTGATATTGTGTAAAAAAAAAAGCCAGTTTATAATAAATGCATATATTACCTGGGTTAGAGGAGCAGCTAGCCGATGGATAACAGCCTCCATTATTGGATGAGCAGATGTCTGATTGTGTGCATGTTCTCCCATCACCCTCATAACCTACACAAATACAAGAACACCGTCTGAAATCAGACTTTTCACCTCTAAGTTCAAATGCATCAAAAAGAGGTTTTCACTGTTCACAATTACTGTAAATTCATTACTGCTGTGTCCAGATTGTCAGATACAGTCAAAAGTCACGATCGTGTACATGTGTAACTTGTCATACCTGGAGGGCAGGGACCACAGTGGAAAGAACCCATAGTATTCATACACTGAACCAGTGGAGCGACAGAGCAGCCTCCATTATTTGTCAAACACTCATCCACATCCTGACAGCTGTAGCCATTGCCTTGCCAACCTGAAATATATTTAAAGACATCAAAACAAATATGTTATTTTATGTTTAAATGAGACTGGATGTGAAATTTACATGGCATAAGGTAGATTGGAAACTTGATAAACAATCAAAATAGTCTAAAGTTAAATGGTCTTAGTGATGTCAGGACTACACAAACCTGCATTCATCAACAACAACAGAAAAATACAAGAATTTGGTGTGTTTTTTTAAGGTCTGAAGAGACTCAGGAGAAAACAGACAGGAAACCAGTCAGGTGAGTTTATAGTAACTGTCTTTTTGTCTAAAACTGTTCAAATCTCATCTTGTTCTTGTGGACCCAGTATCTCGTGTCATCCAGTGCTGGCTCTAGCCATTTTGGTGCCCTAGGCGAATTGAAGCGCACCACCCCACCCCCCCATACTATGTCCCACCCACCCCAATTTAAACCCCCTAAAAACAAGTTTGACAGTGAAAGGTACTGTGGTAAGCTTAGATTTATTTGCTTTCCCTGAAAGCAAATAAATAACAACATACATGTAAACTTGTACAGATTGTCTGTAAGTTATAAGGACTTTACATCATTTTGCAGGTATACGGACGTAAAGGGCAATCTCATGGATTTTTTCAAGTCTTACGGATTTTTTCAAAACCTCATTTTCAAAATTATCTAACATGTCAGAGCCTGTTGGATGATTAAAAAAAAAACAATAAATAACATTAAATAGCCATCTTCCAACCTGTTCTGCCAGTAGAATTAAGTTTTGAACTTTTTCCGCTGTCTTTTCCTCCTGCTTCGCAGCGAGCCTGGGTAGTAGTTTATTTTTCCTATAATACTTCATTATAGTTTTTTTTAACAAAGCTAACTGAAAGGGGGGCTGAGCAGAGTTACAACCGGGGATTACAAATAATTACTTTTTTTCTTCTGCAGTTGGCCCCCTCCAGCAGATGGCGCTCTAGGCGACCGCCTAGTTCGCCTATGCCAAGAGCCGGCTCTGGYGTCATCTTTCATAAAAATGAGCTTAACAAGAAAAGTTGTCCACTGAGACATGAAAAATTTAACAGCTTTTGCTTGACGCAGGCGGGCCCAAGATGTTTGCAGTTGAGTCTRTTGAATAAGAATGGCTTGCCCTACCAGTGGTTGCCTCTGTTAGTGTTTGTGCCCAGAAAACTTTTTTTTTCCATTTCCCCGTATTATAAAGTTTGCCACTTTACAGTCACTAGGTAATAAAATAATTAAATATTATAGACCTCTGACTGGTCACATCTGAAGGTAGAACTTAATTTTTGATGCTCTGAACATATCAGTCAGATTTGAATAAGACTGATAAACTGATGATTTTTCACCCCAGAAACAGGAGACATTCTTCTCAACATGGATTGTKTATGAATGAAATTGGACTAAAAAGGCACTTTTATGAACCAAGATTTACAGATAGTCTTTGATTCATATGATCCAAAAGATTTTCTGATCAGTTGTGAAATAAAACCTGTCAAGAGGTTAGTGAGAACAGGAAACATTCAGTATTAGACGTTACCAGCAGGACAGGCTCCACAGTAGAAGGAACCCTGGGTGTTGTAGCAGGGAACAGGGGGGTTGGCTGAGCAAGGCTTGGTGGGGAGGTTACACTCATCAACATCAGACACACACGCTGGGTTTCCAGCTGGAGCCTCCCATCCACTCTCACAAATGCACTGGTATTTTGGCTGGTAAAAAAATACATGAGAAATAATCATTCTGCAATTTGAGTTAAAAACATGCAAAAAAATTAGACAGTGAGCAAAATAAAAATACGAGATGATTATGATAAAGAAGAGCATAAAACATACACTCTGAACAGCTGATCCCTTTGAAAAACAGAAACTCTTCTTTAGGTATTAATTGCTGAGTCAAGCTTCAGCTGTAGGTGTTTAATTACCTGTCCAGGTACAACGCGATCTGCATCAATACATAAACCATGTACACACAGGTTCGGTCCTGCATTCCTACAGTCATCGTATCGCTCTGTGCAGAGAGTCCCGGACCATTCTGGAGAACAAGTACATCTGGACACGAACAGAACCAGCATTAATGTTTGCAGCTATCATCAGCTCGAACAAAAGCCATATTTCCTGCTGGAAACAGTTAAAGGGATCCCCAGTTAGTTGTAGCCAGTGGCGCCTGCAGAAGTGGGGCACTACAAAACCAGGGGTGGCACACCAAAACTAATATCCATAAATAACAGAATTGTTATGATTTGGTTGTAAAGTAGACAATTTAAAAGCTATGGCAATATAAAGCTATGGATTTGCCAACAGATGTTTAATTTGTAATTTTTAAAGATATTATTACTGATTTTGTGACATTCAGAGACAAAAAATAAGAATCCAAACTATCTGCACTTCCGCAGCAGTCACTTTCTAACTTGTCCTGTATCTTTACACATGGAGTACCATTAATTGTCCTTACATTCTTACATATTTCAGTGGTATCAGGAGTACTGGGGAGGCACTGGGGGGCCCAGCAAATTTTCCTGGTTGTAACATTAGACTTTATTTGATAAACATATATTTTAACTGTAAAATAAAGACTGTAAAAATACTATAGGCTGTTTAGTTTTTATAATTTTTAAAAATATATTTTGACATGGATGGAGCCATTTTATTTCCACGCAAGGCATTCTGGGTAAATGATGACGTGGATAGGTCCTCAGTGTGAGCGAGCTATATCCACCCTGAAGGTTAATCTTGGACAATATCTGATATGATCGACTTTTAAATGAAACCAGAGAGCGTTGACAGAGAGGAGAAGGTAGAAATGACTCAGCCTGTAACTGAAAATATAGATGGAGGACAACAGAGCTGCTTCATGGAAGAAGAAMCTCAGCTTAGCCTGTTAGCCTTTGCGCTAGCGTTAACGTTATATTGCCTTATATGTATTAGCTCGGTGCTAGCGCGACAAACTAACAAGCTAAACTGAGCTCCTCCATTCATATTTTCAGTTACAGGCWGAGTCATTTCTACCTTCTCCTCTCTGTCAACGCTCTCTGGTTTCATTTAAAAGAGCCAATCATCAGATATCGTCCAAGATTAACCTTCAGGGTGGATATAGCTCACTCACAGCCTCGCACCAAGTACCTATCCACATCATCATTTACCCAGAATGCTTTGCGTGTAAATAAAATGGCCCCATCCGTGTAATATATTTTTAAACTTTGTTTAAAAATTATAAAAACTGAACAGCCTACAGTATTTTTACAGTCTTTATTTTACAGTTAAAATATGTGTATTAAATAAAGTCTAATGTTACAACTAATCATGGATTCCTTTAAAGTGCCTTGCACTGGTTATAACCTACTCTATTAAACTGGGTCTACTGTGGGTTAATAAATTATTCACTCCATTCTGTTGGTTTTGAAAATAATTTAGGATGGGGCACATTTTTAAGTACACTTGATATCACTTGAAAGTACAAAATAATAGTCAATACTTTGTGTGAAGAATTAACAGCCCACTATAAAGGAAAAACAAAAATAATATGTGAAATATTTTCCAGAATTTGTCCTGATTGACACTGAAATCTCTTTATTAACATCTGCTTCAACACACTGACTTTATGGTTTTGACATTTTTTGGCCCTAGCTATTCATTTAATTTTAGCTTTTAGCTACTTTGCTAATTTCAGCTTTTAGCCACAGATTTGCTCAGTTAAACTTTTAGCTGTTTTTTTTTTCGAATTTAGTATTTGTCTGACTTTTAGCTAGTTTTAGCCTAACTGCTTTGTTAATTTTAGCTGTTATGGTGTCACTGTTTATAGTATGAGCAACTTTTCCATTCTGCTGATTTTATTTTTCATACACATTCAGCACTCAGAATTCATTTTCCATTTTTGTAGAAAATGTCTTTTCTTTAGTGAATTTTGAAAATATTCTAAAACATATATTTTTTTCTGAATAAAACAGGAGTAAAGCTAAGTATCACCAGTGGTACGACATTTACAGAACGCTGTCAACAAAACAACATGAGTAATCAGCACGGGTAAATTCAAGAGCAACACATTTTGAATACTTTAAAACTAACCCAATAGGAAAAGTTAATACTTACGTGAAAGATCCAGCAGTGTTGACACAAGTTGCCCCATTCTGACAACTCTGCAGTGTTCCTGAATACACCTGACATTCATTTACATCTGTGGCACAGTTAGGGCCCTAAACACACACACACACACACACACATACAACACATTTGTAAATAAATAATAAATGTATTTTAAAAAATTATTTTTAAGCTTACTATTTAGGTTTTGTAGTTGTGCTTTTCTGAATTTTCTTCATGGCATTTTTCATCTATAAATGTCTGTATGTCAATATTCTTTTTGTTTTTATGTTTTTATACAATCTGCCTGTGTGTGTATACATAACCTAGTATCTGTGTGTTTACATGCAGAAAGTCTATATGTTTTTATACTAGAATTCTTAGCAAAGTTTTAAGCAACGTTTCTCACTCAGAGGATGTTTTGAGTATTACCACTACACCAACTTTTACAGTATCTGTGCAGCTGGCTGAGTTACAGCCATGTTTGTGTTTCCCAAGATTAGCTGGCTGTAATGGCCATCTTTAAATGCAGTGACTCTTCAGACAGACGATGCAGTGACAGCAGCTGTCTGATAACCAAACAGAGGAGAACTCACAGCCCAGTTGTTGGGACACAAACAGTGGAATGAGTTTAATAAGTTCAGACATGTTCCTCCATTCTGGCAGGGGTTACTGTTGCAGGAGCTCCTCTGAACTGTCTGCAGGAGAAAACAAGTGGAAAACAGGAGGTGTTTTCAGACAATGCACAGGTTAGACCAGGACCTCAGACTTTAAAATGTCTCACCTGTTGAAGTTCAGTCACTTCACCCTCCAGTGTTGACACCTGAAAAGGAGGGAAACAGTTCTATGATTTTTGGTACTGAACAGATACGATATTTTTTTAAATAATTAGTCCCTTTGCAAATAATTTATAACTACTTTTATAACACATTTGGCAGAGAAGATTCAGCAACCCACATTTTCAGCTCTACCGATCATCCCACAATTGCATGTTCCTTACAATGGCACCATTTAACCAGGCTTTATAATTTTATAAGACTTAACATTGTTACAACAAAGAAATAATTTACCAAACACACATTTCTTTACTTTTTGTTCACCAGTATTAAGGAATTGATTGGTTTTACCTTAGTATCCAGTTGGTTAAGCTTGTTGGTGATGTCAGGTGGAACTCCTCCTCCATGAGTCTTAATGTTATCAATGTCTTCTTTGTTGGTTTTGATCTGTAATATAAACCCAAAGAATGCTAAAACAATGACTGCATATTCGTGAAGTCACTGTTTCTTTATGTTTTTCCTCAAAACCAGCAGGGTCTAATAAACTTTGACATGAGCTATCTAATAATACAGGAAACAAGTTCACAAATAGTATTTATTTAAAGAGTCAAACTATTGAAAACATAAAAAAGTGTCATTCTTAAAATGAAATCAATGAGGCCTGGAGATGACCCGTCTATTTGAGCCTCTGTGTTCTGCCCTCAACGCTCCACAGCAGAGGAAAAAGAGTCAAAAAAAAGTCTGCATGCCAGGTGGATGTCCCCCACAATGCATCGCTCYGGCACGTCTGCTGATGTAAATGTCGTCAAAAGCAGGGAGGCTGTTGGGAGGGATCTTTTGAACAATTTTTGATAACGCACAATTCTGTGTCTTAAAGCTAAAGTAAAACAAAATTGTCCAAAATAAATTTGTGCGACGTTTTCACGCTGATAAACCAATGACATTAATTTAGAAAGTCTGAAGAACTACATACAGTATATTTTATACATTCAGTGTGTGCAGTACACTGTATATAAACAGAGACAGTGACATTTTGTGCACCAGCACCAGAGTTCTCCTTCCATGTTATTCTGTTCTGTAGGCTGAATTGGTCATGTTTTTGGTAAAACACATCTCTGTCTGAAAAAATAAATCACTCAGCCACTCCTCGTCTTTCTGTCACGGTTCAGTTGAAGCCTCATTAATAATGTTCAATAACCGAACATCGGCCAGAAAACAACCTGGAAGAGGAAGAAGTTTGTTAGCATTTAGCTAAGTTAGCACACGGGCCAATTTCTGTACCTTTCTTTCTGTTCATCCTGAAGCCTCCAGCTGTATTTATTGTATCACCTGATGTGTCATGTGTCGTGTCAGGCTAACCCCGTAATGATTCACTGCCTCATATGAGCAGCAGCCAGCTTCCAGTAAAAACTTAGAAACTTGAACTGATCACTTACAGAAGTCGTTAAAAACATCCGCAACTTTTATTAGACGACAGAAATGGACCCAACGCGTATTTGGATACATTTTTTCTATGCATTGYGTAAAACAAGTGCTTCATATATTTGACAAAGTAAAAAGTTTCCCGCCATCAAAAGTAAAAGCAGAAGTATGTTTTTGCTTGATTGTTTATTTTAATATTAATTATATTGTAATCACTGCATGAACGTCTTCGAACTGGCTAACTTTTGGTGTTAATGTGACTTAAGCTCATCTCCAAAAGCCAAACAATTTCAACAAACACAAAAAGCACTATTATTTACAGGGTTCATGCAGGTTTCAGTAAGTACAATTTAAGACCTTTTAAAGACCTTTTAAGACCATCCAGAATGACATTTAAGACGGAACCGACACATTAACATAAACATGCAAATGGTCCCGGAAATTTTAACATAGGAACCTTTTATTGCTTTCAGTTTTGCTGTTAAAGAATATTTAATCTTAATACAAGAACACTAAATTTTTTTAATGAAACAGTCATATCTGAGACCTTCATATTGACTGCTGTGGACCGCTTCCAACAGAATAAAAAAAAATCACTGATATTAGCCAAGTCTCATTGAAAAGACACTTTCCATGTTTGAACCCCAAGCAGTGGACATGACTGAACTTTTTTTTATTATTATTATTATTATTTGTATGGGTGAACAATCGCAGCAAATATGTTGAAAACATTGAAGCAAACTGTGCCATTTTTTTGCCTACATTTATTACATGACTTGTGGTTTAACACGTACAAAGAGTGGTAGCCCTTCATGAACACAGATCACATCAATCTCTAATTATGGCTCTTTACTCTGTTTATTTATGCAGCCAATGCTTCTCAGGAATGATCGAAAGTAAAAAAAAAAATTAAAGATTTCACAAAATAAAATTTAAGACCTTGGATGAAAATCTGCATATTTTTAAGACTTTTTTAGACCTAAAATTTTGATTTTCAAATTTTAGACTTTTTTTAGACTTCTTAAGAACCCTGTATTTAGCCATTTTTATAGATATTGACTTATAACTTGGTATAGTAGCAGTTAAGAGTAATCCCCATCATATGTTTTTTCTCCAGACTGTTGCATGAAGTCCTTCAAATAGATGGACTTTCGAAAACACACACAAAAAAAAGTTTACATCACCGCCAATCTTACAGAAATTTAGCTTGAACTTGGCATTGTAGTAGATAATGTCTTTTTAAATTTATACTCAGAGTGCTGTCTAAAATGGCTTTAACTTTGTCTTTTCTCATCATAAGATGATCTTAGTCTAAAACTGTCCCATGAAAGGCAGCAGGTGGTGTGCAGTCCTTTAATGGGATGTTTCTCTAAAGGAATATGTCTGACTTGACATTTTTGTCTTCCTTCCAATGAAAGTGACTCACTCTTACCACTAGAGCTGTTTCTGTCACTGATCCTATAATTGTTCTGCATTWATGTGTTTTTAGTGATCAGAGGTTTTTCAGCTCACCTGACCCAGAAGTTGTGAGAGGTCTTCATCCCCTACTTTGACTCGACCCGACGCTGAAGGCTGGAAGCGGATGTCTTTGCTGTCCCCAGGTGTGAAAACAAGGTGGCCATTATCTGACTGCATACGAGGCCTACAGGGTGGGGAAAAAAAAATCAACATTCAGTAAGTTTCATCTTTCTGATGATCTTCAGGGTGAATTTTCACGCCATCACCAGTGAYATGCTTCTTCTAATGAAGTGATTGACACAAGGAATACAGGAAAGCTTTTGACTGGCATGAATGTCTCCCATATGAATAAAACTCACTGTGTTAGCTGTTTATTGTCCTTTGTCTCTCCCAGAAAGCAGAGAATCATGAAGAAAAGCCATAAGGACTGCAGCGTCCCAGCCATGGAGACCAGCTTCAACACTCTGAACACCAGAGCTTCACGTCCTGTCCTGCTACACTCAGATGCTCTCTGCTAAGACTTTGACCCAGAACACCAACAATAAACGCCTAATTTTACTGAAGTGGGATACCTGGGGTGGTAACAGTGCTTTATTAGGTTTTAACCATGGTTTATTATTGAGAGGGAATGTTGCTCACATGATTCTTGGAGATGAGTAATCTGCTTAAWGAGCTGCGGCGCACTTCTGCTGTAAACTTCTGTTTCAACTCCCAAATAAATCAGAGCAGTTCATTCATTAAAAAAGTGTAGTTATGGTGACACATCACAGTGTTTTATCAAATATAAAACTCTAATTAAATCACATCACAACAAATTTGACCTCAGTAAGTAAAAGCCTTACCCTGTGACATATTTAAACTAATAGACTTTTAAAAATGACTTCATTAGCATGTTTTTTTTTGTTAGTTTGTCTTTTGTTGAAATAAATCAATTTATTTTTGCAGTCGCTCAAGWTTTGTCTGAACTTTGGGTTCCACCAGTGAAACCCAACTGTGACAGYGAGTAAAATGTGACGTGTGCTGAAAAAATGTGTCAGGATGAACACAGACTAAAGTGCAAAAATAGTGTCATAATTAAGATTTATTTAAAAAATTTATTTATAAAAACTTGACATAAAAACAACCAACTAAAACAGGATAATCTTCCTATTTTACCTTTAAATTGAAGTTTTCCAACAGGTATGTCCTCCAATATAATGTTTTTACATTCCTTTAAAAATGGACTATTTTTTTCTTGTACTATGGTCGTAATTTTGTGGGGTTTGGGGGGGGTGGGGGTCATGACCCCCATAATAATTTGATCCAGTCAATATAACATCCATCCCCCACAAACAAAATTATATAATTTGCTCTAACACAATCAAAATTAAACGGTTAAGTACACAGCTGCAACAGTCTTTAGGTAACTTTGACCTAATTAAAAAATGTACAATGTCATAAATTGTTTGTATGCGTTATAGTTTTTCCAAAGGATTTTTCAAAAACACTTGTGTGTGTGTGTATGTGTATGTGTGTAATCTGACTTTTTTTTTAATATGACTTATGGCCCTGTCACATTATCAGGATTTAGACAATAATACCAACTTATGAAACATTTGTCCAACACTAAAGATGTCTAAATTAAAGATGGAATTTACAAAAATGTACTAGAAGCCTCTTTTGGACGTATGCTGTAATGCTAATTAGATCAAATAAATAGCAGAAATKAGTAAAATAGTAATAATAAAATGTTCATAAGTTGGTATAAGTTGTCTAAAACGTGTAAAAAGGCCTATCGTACAGTGTAAGTTGTATATTCTWTTCATCTCATTTGTGTACAGCAGATACTTTGTTGTACTTTGTGACAGTAAAACCTTTAATTTATTCGTTCAAATTCATATTTATAGACATGCACGTGTGCAATGCAGGTGCTCTACAGGAAAGTTTTAATTTTAACATCTATTGGACAAAAATATTAACCTGAAATCTTTTCTTTTACTTTCCTAATAAGAACAAAGTGGCTTTAATAAAGCTGATAGTCCAGCAGAACTCCTGTGATGAAAGCTTCAGTATATTATTTTACAGTTCCAACAATTATAACTCCCTCCAAATACAATAATTTAATTCAACACCTGTAGTTGTAATCACCCTCATCAGCAAACACTCTGTCATCAATATACAATAATTCTTTTTTAAAGCTTTACAGAGCTAAATCATTACCTAACATTGTTGTTGTCATAAACTAATTTTTTTCCCTCCCTGTCTTCACTTGTGTGACTTCAGCATCTCAGGGTTTCTGTTCTGGAAAACATTAACTGAGGTCTTGCGACTGCTGAACATTTGCTGACAGTTTTCATTTTCCCACACGTAAACCAAACTTATAATAAAGTGCTCCGTCACTAAAAATCAGTGGCGGACATGGGGATGGCACAAGGGGGGATACAGCATTTTTTAACAGAGGACATACAAAAAAAACTAATTTGTTTCAAGAAACTAATGCCTAAGGTGCATGCCTTCTTTACAATTTTCATAACCCATGTTTTTCTTTATCAAGATATCTCAGTTTCTCTCTTACACACATAAACTTGTCATTTCTATCCTTATTAGGACCATTCATTGATTTCCACTCATTTTCCAGTCRTTTCTATAGCCAAACCCTGACCCACCCAGTACCTAAACCTAACTCATTTCATACGTTATAGTCCTTCACTCAACTCCAACATAAAAATGGAGCTCCACCATATTAGAGCYGGACTTTGGTCCCCTAAAGGTGTACTGTATACATGCATACCAGAAACAGTCCTAAATTAGTAACAAATGAACACACATTGGTTTTTCTATCCTCGTGGGGACTTGGCATTGACTTCCATTCATTTTCCAGTCATTGGTATAATCTAACCCTGAGCACAGCACATGACAAACACTCAGTGTACTGTGTTCTACACCTACACTCACCAGAATGTGCCAGCCAAATTCCAATACATCTTATAGCACATCCAAAACAACAGGCTGTCTCCAACTGGACCAGCTGACTCCACCATGCACTTCACATAAAGATAGGACCCAGTGGCTGAGGACTGGACCCGATCTGGAGCGAGYGTGCACTTCCTGTGGGATTTACCAACTCTGTGGAGCCATCAGGCGGCAGGTGGGACCCTCTGAGTAAATACTTCTTTACCCTCAAACTAACCACACCAGTACCTACCTCACCCCAAACTTAGCCTAAACTCTATTCACATCAAATCGCCTTTGGTCCCCATAAGGAGCATTGAGTCCTCATAAGACTGTTCCTATGATGTATTAAATACATGTMCACACACAAATGTTATAGTAGGCATCAAGGCCTGGATCTCTCCTTTACAAATTAAAAAATTAATTATTATTTTTTCCATTAAACTCAAACATACAGACATACTGAGTGAAACTTACTAGAGATTTTATTATTTTTTTTAAATGTACATGTTATAAAATGCTTATTTACAAAAATAATATACAGACCAGTAATTGTGTTCTCCTTTACRCTAACAGCCTCCCAGATCTGAACCTGAACCCCCTGGCCCTGGAGGACACTTTGAAAACTCTTAGAAGAGGTAAAAAGTTGTTGCTGTTTTTTGTAAGTAGTAGTTTTTGATGAATAAAAATCACCTTGTGTAAATTATGGAAATAAATAATGTTCATAATGAGGATTTTTGCCCTAAATTTGAAAAGTGAACATCTTCAAGAGGCAGTGGACAGACAGCACCCACTGAGAGGACCTTCAGAAAACAGATAATTCTTCTCCTCCATCAGAACAGCCAAAATGTTCAGAGAGCAGCAGCTGGAGAAGTCGGGCCACCACAACAACATTAAGGCTGTTTCCTAAAACTTTGTACTGCTGAGCTGTGGAGATGCTCTTTGGAAAAGCTGTAAAGACATAAAACAGAGAGTTGGACAAAGAAGCATTACAGCTGAACAAACAATTCTATAAAACTGACAGCTGGTTGCACTTTAGACAAGAACTTAAGCTGCTGTGTGAGTGAGCACACTTCTTAATGTCTGACATTAATGATGAATGACTGGTTTGTTTCTTTTGCAGTATTTACTGGTGATTATTTATGAAGGAATCACACAAACTAATAATCATACAAGTCTGCTGATAGAGGACTGTAATAAGGACTGACTGCTATCTGAAAGACTGATAACTCACAGTGCAGAGATTCTAAATATCTATTTATTTATTTATTTTTCTAGTTTTCATTAAAAAAAAACTACTATCTTAATAAAAGTCTGTCAATATATTGACATCAGCAGGTCATTTAAAATAGATGCTTAAAATTGAAGCAGTTTAACTTTTTGACTTACAAAAAATGGGAGGGAAGCCCATGAGGTTGGCTACTTCCCTGGGAGTAAAATAGCGTAGCTTTAATTTCAACAGCTGCTCAAGTTTGTCCTTTTCTGACAGCTGGTCCAGACCTGTAAACACACTCTCAATCTGTAGGACACACAAAGAGAAGGACGATTGGTCCATCGTTTTCAAAGCAGTGCTCTAAATCAGGGGTTCACAAACGTTTCCGGCCGGGGCCCCCCTCGCAAACCCACAAACAGTGAAACAAAATATGTAAAGAATATAATGTTTTTTCTTACTTTTATTCACTATTCAATAATTATTACATTTGTTTAACATACGAATTTTATTAACTAACATGTTTTAAACACTATTATATTCCCACTGAACCTTTCAACAAACTGAAAAACAGAATAGAAATCTAAATTTTCAAGATTTTTTCAAACATTTCAATATATTAAAAATTAAATTTGAAAAATGATTGGAAAAACAGATTTGATTTGATGATAATGATTAAAACATTTCTTAGATTTATTTATTTATTTTTCAGTTTTGAGAAACAGACCTAAACAACTCATATTTGACAACATCTGTTCAAATCAAAGTCAAAAGTAAAATTTGGTAGGAAGAAATATAATTAACGGTTTCATCTTTAATCAGTTTTCCCCATTTACTTTAACCACCTTCCCTGTCCCTGCAGTGATAAAAATGTAGATGTTTTTATTTGGTATGCTGTTTTCATGCTGTCTTATGTGCCCTAATCTTAACATTTATAGTTTATTGCTTATTATTTTTATTTGTATAGTTTTTATTTTGTAATTATTCAGCACTTTGAAAGCACTATATATTACTACTACTACTACTACTACTACTACTACTGCTACTACTACTACTACTACTACTACTACTACTACAACTACTAGATGTGTTTTTATGTGCATTTTAGCTTCATAGCGTTTTATCAAATGTATTGTTATTTATTTATTCTTTAGAAAAATTTTTACCATTTGTCTAGGGATTGCAGGTGAAAAATATCCTTCTGGAGAAATGTTATTAATTTGCACTTTCCCTGAAATAAATACCTTATTTAAATATTATTATGGTAAATGGTCTGAACTTGTAAAGCGCTTTATCAAGTCCCTCCGGACCCCAAAGCACTTTACACTTACAGACATTCACCCATACATGGTGGTAAGCTACATTGTAGCCGCAGCTGCCCTGAGGCACACTGACAGAAGCGAGGCTGCCATACACCGGCGCCACCGGACCCTCTGACCACCATCAGTATCGTTAATATTATTATGGATGCACACATGCTGTAATGCTAACAATGAGTTGTGTGAATATGCAGTATAACGTGTATGAGTAATTTAGTCAGAACATTTTTAGAAGTGGGCATAAGTTGTCTAAAACGTTAGTGTGGCAGAGCCTTTAGCTATCCATTAGTGCAGGCTTTTTTTTAAACTCTCATTCCCTGGACTCACAGACCTACCTCTGTTTCCCTGCAGCACTGCAGCACAGAGCCAGTTCCCTCCACATACCTTCCATAGCTGTGAATGAAACACATCAGCATGAGTGAACTATACAACTGTAGAAAACAGCAAAAAGAAATGGGACAGCTGTTGGATTTTGGGGGGAAGAGTTGCAGTCAATAATCAATAACAATAAACTGTGATTGTCTCTAAAACAACAATTAAACCCCACTATGTGTCTTTGTCTCGATTTTGCACACGGCACCAAAGTTAAACTAATGAATGAGGGAGTAGAACACTGCACACTTCCTGAACTCACCCTTTGGTAAAGCAGACAGATCTCCTGCATTCAGGCTGAACGATGTCTAGAATAAGTCCATATCGTAACAACGTTTTAGGAGCAAGGAGGTAGTGCTTCAGGTTTTCTTCTGTCAGGGGCTCCAAAAAGTCTTGTAACTGTCTGACAGACAGATCATTGTTCTGAGAGACCTTCCTCTGAACCTCCACTAACGACTCGAGTTTAAACAACACCTGACCACCGTGGGTTTTCTCCACAGGCTGGTCCGGATTTGGACGAGGGGGACTCAAGTCTGAGGGGACTTCACTCTGAGCAGGATGTGGAGCAGCACTGAAAACCTACAATCAAAACAAACTTTTAAAAATACAAATAAAAGTGCAAAAATACGTATTGTATGTATATACATATACTGTATATATATATAATACATTATATATTATATATATTAGGGGTGCAACAATATATGTACCTGTATCGAACCATTCAATACAGCGCTTTAGGTTCAATAAACACTTGTATCGAACAATACAGATTTTTAAAATTAATTTTATCAACTTGTCTTCTGAAGATGCTCTGTGTTGGATCTGTGTTCAACTACTCCACCTAGGCTGCATTTTTGAGCACAGATCTACTAAGAAACTTACTGTTTCAGCAACATTTAATTTTAAAAACTGTATTTTGAGGTTAAACAAATGTTCATAATTAATTTAAATAAATTACAAGTTAAAAAGGGCATGGAAATTTCTCTTTTATCGAAGAAATATCGAACTGTGAGACTAAAGTATTGAACCGAACTAAAYCGTGACTTTTCTGTATCATTGTACCTCTAATATATATAGTTTTTTTTTTGCTTGCTGAAGCCAAGGTACAGTCTTTTTTCCCCATCAATAAAAAAAGAAGTTTTATCAAAATGAAGTTATTTTAGGGTCAAATTTAGATTTGTTTTATGAAGATTATTGTGCGTATTTATAGTGTGTAATGCAGGTGTTGTGATTCAAGGAGCTGTTTAACCTGAAAGATCAACCTTCAGTTATGTAAACAGGGAAGTGTTTCTCAGGGTAAACAACAAAAAATGACACAAATATATCAGTCTAAATCTACCTTTAACTGGCAACTGATGGTTTCTTCCCAGTAGAGTGAGTATAAGAGAAAGAA